GGTTTTCTCCCGGTTTGTTTTGTGTTTTTTGAGTTTTGCATAAATTTTCGTCCTTTCGCTCTGTTTTCGTTGTGTTTGCTTTGACCTGGTTTTTGTGCCAGGACTTTGGCCACCAGCTGCCTGACGTGCCTCCTTTCGCTCATTGCCGCTTTTGTGCGAGCATTTTTCGGTTCTCATTAAAATAGGTAAACAAAATCGCATAAAATTTCCTGATAGACAACAGATAAGAGTTAAAACTTTGCGCAAACTCCCGGCGGGAGCTTGGGCCGTCGGTTTGGTTAGGCAAATGAAGTGTAATTCCCGATGAGAGCGAAGCGCTTTCACCGCTTTCACCAAGCTTATTGGGAGTTAACTGTTCAAGTGCCGCAATTACAGGTTAACTTTGGACTCGATAAGGGTTAAGTGCCCCGCTATTACGTCAGCCGTTTTTTGTTTATTGTTGAAGTTATTAATTCTCTTGGCCTTAAATGAGACTTCAATGCTTATAGTTTGTACTTAAATTTATAAAGAATTTCAGAGTCTTTTTCTTTTACAATCCTAGATTTTTAGAGAGCAGGTAGTACATCATCTTAGATGGAATTCCCAAAGCTCAATAGAACGGAATTTACTGGTGCACCTTCATTATCCCGGTCTGTAACCCTGGGTTTTATGAGCCAACCCAATAATTTGGACACTGATATGCAACGTCTAAACCCACATCACCTCTTTACCCTCTCAAGCTCGAGACTTTAAAGCCTTCGCCAGGGAGTCCTAAATCAGTCTTACAACCATAAAACTTACTTCTGATTCCCCACTTTTCCTTTTTTTGTCTCCTGCCATTGGCCATTGGCAGTAGCCAGCTTACTGGGTCAACACAAATCAGCATAAGCCACACAACTCCACATCGGACAATAACATTTTTATGTGTTAAGCTTTATGACAAAAGGCCGGAGTGAATGCACAGGGAAATGCGGAAATGCCAGGACTCGCTGGGGGAAACACGTGAAAGTTGCTGCTGCAAGTTGGCATAGAAAGTTCACCGATTTGTTTTGGCCGTAATAAATTCGGACAGCTGTAAGCAAGCAACACCCGGGGAGTAAGCCAAAACAAACGCTGTTCTCGGTCACTGCAATAGTTCACAGAAAGAGTCAAGGACCAAGGGAATGGAATGGCTTTTAGTTCGTTCGTTTCCTTATTTTTCCCCTCTCTAACTGGGGATCAATCTTTTTCCGCAGCTGCTCCACATGTTCAGCTCGCTGCTGCTGCCAGCTTCTGTCAAAAATGTTGGGCTTCAGCAAACAAGGCAAACTCAAAGTGGGCGTTGAAATATCCTGCCAGCCAGTTCGTCCTTAACCCATTACTCATCATCGATACCAAAGTCCACAAGTGACTAAACAAGATATTTGAAAAATATGTTCAAGTTTGTTGAGAACATTTTACCTTATCTATTTTTGTGGATTAAAAATATTCTAAAAGTTTTACCTTGAATATTTTGAAAATTAATGCCAAGCTTAAAAATACAAACCTGCCGGACACAAAATATCTAAAATATTTCTCAGAGCTCTTTTGTAAAATAAACAAAAATTCATTTAATAAAGGCTTATGGTGGTTTCTTGTATTTTTTTTAGTTCTGATTTTTAAAGTAAGGCATTTATTGGGTTAACTTAATTCCATTCGAGCTCTAGTCAAGCGTTTTGTGCGTGTTTTCTGTCTGTTGTTTTGTTATCCTTGTATTTATTTTTATTTTGTTAATTTTTTTGTTGTTGTTAAGGCATCTGTCGTCTGGCTTCTGTTTTCCCTGTATTTGTTTCTCTTTCAAGTAAAATAATTTTAAATGTAATTTTCGGATGTGCCTAGCTTTGGCCCACTTGAGTTTAGAGTGTTACTTTTGGCAAATGTCAGAGTACTCCTAAACACACACACTTCAGCCTGCGTTGTTCGTTGGGTTTTATATTATAAGCATTTTTTTTTAAACTCTAACTGCAACTTCAAGCGCTTCACCCTCGTTAACCTACGAACCGGCGATGAGTGCACATCTCCTGCTGGCAGAGACATGCATAAATATTGCAAAACGTGATCCTGGCGCAGATATACATATATATATGGTAGGTGAGTGCAGAACCCCTCAGTCTGGCCAAAATGCTTACCATACCAGGGGACTGCCAGCATTCCAGCCTACCCTTAGAAATAAGCCCACTTGCCGATTGTCGGTCTTCCGGTCCTTCTGTCCCTCGCTCTTTTGGCCCTATCTGTGCGGCTGAGTTTAGGCCCGGATTTTTGGCGTACTCTTTGGCTTGTTGTAAGGAGCTTTTATGCATGGACTAACTGGCTTCAAACCACTCTCTGCTTTAGAAGTCGTGCCATAAATTTTGGGTGAAATGCTCTCACAAATCTGGAAATTCCTACATCATATCTTCGTTTGTTCAACGGCAAGATTTTTCCTTTTGCCAAATAATATTTCAATATCTCTACAGCATATATAAATTGTTCATATTTGCTAGCTCCTATTGTTTTGCCCCCTGAATATATTGAAAAGCTGAGTCAACTCTCTGTTGGTACAGTGAAACAATATGAAACATCAAAATATATTGGTTGTAAATTTTTAGTTTACGGTTTGCTCTCACGTTCACAAAGAAATCAAAAATGGCTTTCATTGAATTTTACCGTATTTACTGTATGTTTATTAACAGAAAGAATATTTCATTGTTCAAATATTACCTCTTATTGCTTTTTTCTGGAAATTTCTTTGACCTTTGTTTTACGATTTCATTTTGCATAGATATATGAATTTATTATTGATAAGAGAACAAAATTCTTATTTAAAAGAATGCATTTATTTGTGAAGGTAACACAAGACCCTTATTTGCGACTACATAATTTCCCAAGCGAGAGTTGGTTTGGCTCAAAGCAATTAATTGCCAGTTAAATGCAATTAAGTGCAGGAAGCAGAAAAATTTCATGAATATATTTGCGTCCTCCACCCCCAACAGTCATTTTTATCGACTGAACAAGGCGATAAACATTAAAGATTACCCGAGGCGGTGCTCATGGAGTATACGTGATATTCATTAAAGTCGCTACCGTTCGCTTAAGCCGGGATTTGTCACATGTACACGACAAAAAAATAATCATAAGGAAATTTTAAACTTCGTTAATTCCATTCATTAAATTCCAGTCAAGTTTATAAACTTAAATGACAAGGAATAAAATGAAAATTGATTTGTCCATCATAATTTATGTATTTCGCCTGGCTTTACTTTCATTTAAAATAAGCTCCAACTGACCCTGTTTCATGGCCAGTATTATTTTCCCTGCGTGCAGGGACAAATACTTAATTAACTTTGCTTTTTCATACGCACTTCTCGAGGACTGTTTGGTGGTTGTAAGCTATAGATGCAGTTGCAGTTCAAGGGGCATGCCCTCCGTGCTCTGTGCTCCGTGCTCCTTAATCGCGATAAGTGCAACAACAAACGAGTGGGAAATCTGGAGCGGTCTGCGAAATGTCTTTACGTGAATCCACAAACAATGGGCAGGATCACGAGGGGGAATTTAAAATTTATTTTAATAAAGTCATATACACGCACGCCCGTCGTTGCCGTTGGTTTTGGTGATGGAGAAGGTGTTGGCCAAGATGCCAATGTGTGTAGGCGATTCTGTCAGACGTTATCCGGCCAACGGGAATGTATTTCGCCGAAATTCAACCATTAATTTTTAATATCTATTTAACATTTCAATCAAGGAAATGGCCGCGTTCGCCACTTGATTCGTATGCAAAATTTAATTAATATTTAATTTTTCATTTATTGTATTTCTGTGCACGGCCTGCATCGCGCGGCTCGCTAATAAAATTAAACGGCCCAAAAATAAACGGCACAGGACCCCGGCCAGGATCTACTTGGCACTCACACACTTGCACACACACAGTTGGGAGGGAAAACTCACGAGCCTTCAGCTGTGTTTTTCTTATTTTCCGTTGGGTTCCACGCGCCGCGTTTTGCTCCAGAAGCGGATTTTCCTCGCGTATCCTTGAGCAGAAGACCGTAGCGCCACGTTCCGACACGAATACGAAACTGAGCCGCGCCAGTGGCAAAAACCAAGCCGAACACCAAAAAGTCCTTTGCTCCTCGGTCGATACACCAACTCGGGGATTTTTGTGCTCGTCGCCGAGCTCGTCGTGGGCTTAGCATCGTTTCCACTCAAATGCCGAATGAAAGTAAAAATTACACGACCTCGGCGAGAAGAGAGGCTCGGCAATTTGAGTTTGTTTTGGTTTAAATTGCATCGAGAGGGAACTGAATAAGTAGGCCTATCCCAATCTGTTTTGCATTCCATCACATGCTGTAGGTAAAGTTCACCAGATGCACATTGTATCATATATATTTATTTGTCAGTTATTATAGAAAACTTTAACCGTTTTTTACATGTTAAACCAAGTTTATAAGAAGGTATATTAATCAACAATCAATTTTACTTTAAATATTAAAAAGTACCTAAACTTACTAGCCAATTTAGCTGTTTCTTTTGTAAAAGTAACACTGCATGTCTAAGGAAATTTTTCTAATTTATCATTGAGAAGCTTAAGTCACCACTTAATTTTTAGTCCAATCTTCACTAATTTCCCAATCTTTCTATCCCATTTTTAAGCTGAAAACTCACTCGCTAGTTTCTTAGATAATTTAATAAAATTATTAAAAAAATCATATATTTCTCATTAGTTTTGTAATTAGCAAATTCATGATTTTAAAGAATATAACATTAGAGAACAAATATCAGTGAACAAAAATTAAAAATAATAATTCTTAATCTTCTTCTTGAAAAAATAATACCTGTCAAGATTCTTATTTACTTACAATTTTGTAACTCAAAGCCAGCTTCAGGCAAATACCGAGAAAAGTAATCGTCATGAAAGAGAAAATTACCCTGCCATAGAAAATTTCCCCATTTTCTCTTCAGAGGTAGCGCCTGCGCTTTCCTTGACTTCCAGTCAGCTAACTGCAAAAAGTATAAGAGTTTTCTTTTTAGTTGTGGGACTTTTTCGCTTTATTCAGCGCCTTCAAAAGAGTGACTGTTGGTTTATTTAAAAGACATTTGGAATGATGAACTATGTTTGGTTTTAAAATTCACAGACTTGTCTAGAGCCATATCATTGTCCTGAAAGTAAATAAGTAATTCATTATGTTTGGTGTTTGAAGTCTAAGAATGCTTTCATTACCTTAAAATCGTTTTCATAATTACATCTTCATGATTTTCCAAATCTGTAAAAATGAAAAAGGGATTTATTAAGAAGCACGTTTAGTTATTTCATTTGCATTTTAATGCAAATTAATTGTAGTTAATAATTTAAAATATGGACTTTCTAGTTCAAAATCCTTTAGAAGGGATTATCCTATCACATATCTCACCCTATCATGTTGATTGGCCAATGGAGGACGATTCGTGCCAGTGCCTGATGGCTTGGGGCCTCTGGAATTGGGATTCCCGGATGTGGTGGACGGCCTGGGGATGCTGGTCAGAGGCTTCGGTGGCGATTTCTGTACCGACTTTTGCGGTGACTTTGCTGGCGGTTTCTCCGGCATTTTGACGTCGATGAAAGAATATGTTTTTGAGACGCTTGCCAATGGAATTTTTTTGCAAATGGATTCAAAGGTTTCACCTTACACAGAACGAATTTAATGTCATTGCCCCACTAGATGACCATAAAGTCTAAACAAAATTCACATGATGGCTTTTAGACAGGTAAGCAAATGCCAGCCTGTCTGACTTTCAGTCTGACTTCCAGTTACAGGCCACAGGGCAGAGTCAGTCATTCGTCAGCCGTCATGGCAACATTCACTGCGTGCTCATAAACGGACAGGTTGGTACAAAAAATTAGGAGATGATGTGAGAAATTTAATATAATATAAACATGTACGGAAAGCCTATTAAATTACATATATTTTAGCTCTTAATGGGACATTTAAATATAGACAAAATAAACTTTCTTGTATCTCTGACAGAAGCTCTACTATTTTCTTAAACGCTGCTGTCCTTGGCCATACATCATAAATGTCATCGCCTGAAATTACGCATAAAGCATAAAGCCATATAAATGAGCCATACTTTAAGGCGCACTATATTTATGTACTTGCCGCAAACAATTTTCCACTTGCCCCTCCCTCCATCCAGCACCGACTGTATATTTATTTTTTTTTATAAATTAATTTGCATAAATTATGGCATATGAGGGAGTCCAAGTCGAAGCTAGGCCAAGCGTTTGCTATTTATCAAAGCAGCACAGCGCCATCGCAAATTCCTTTAAATGTCTGGCTCACGGCAACAATCACTCATTCATTCATTCAGTCATTCGGTGCCCATTCACTTCATTCCGGCAATCCGCCACTCCGTCACTCCGTCACTCGCAATTTGCATTTTTCGCACGGGCATTGTCCGCCCAGAAAAACGGCACTCTTATAGCCACCCCCCCATGGTGGGTGGTGGCATGACGGGTGGTGGTGGTGTTCCTGGGGTTCCCGGGGTGTTCCGGGTCCTGGCAGCGGCGGCAACAATGTTGATTGTCTGCTAAAGAGCATAAAGTCGTAATGGAGTGAAGGCAGATAAACATAAAAATAGCATAGAATTGTGGGCACACAAAGGCGGTGGCACAGACGAGACTCAAGAAATGCTAAAGGAAATGGAAAAGCCAAGCTTGTAGAATGGAAAATGCACGCGTACGCGCGAATGTTATGGCCAATCACTTTATTTCACTTGTTTTCAATTTTCCCCCCCTGCGCTTTACGTTTGTTCTCCACCTATTTTCCTTCTTTTTTCCACCAGCTATAGTATCAGTTTTTTTGAGGGGCTGAAATCACGTAGAGGTCATGCTAATCAATGCGACAGATGCCTAAACGATTTCGTCTTTATATGGAACAATGATGGTTTACACTGAGCAAATATAATGGTAGGGAAATAGGGTTAAACAATAGAATAAATAAAGGTTGAAAATGTCTAATAACAAAATATTTTAGTAATCATAAATAAGTACTCTTAGAAATTTTTGGATATAAAAGGTAACCATTTAAAAGCATTTGCTATATTCACTTTCATTAAAAATAGTTACCTACAATACCACTAAGATTTAGATAAGTTACTTACTTTAGATAGGATGTGTAACTATGAACAGTATACTAAATTTATGGATACTTGCCACTTCTGTAAAAACACACACATATCATATCATACGTATCTTAAAGTTGGCCGGGACACGTCACATCATTCTGGGGATGCTAGAACCATTTGAGAATTATAAGAGCACATTTGTGAAATTGTATTAATGATGACATGCCTTTACTTTATTGAACCTTGTCTTAATTCATGGAAATTTTTTCTTAAATTATATTTGATTTAGTACGATTATTTTCAGGGAGATTTGTTTTTAATATAGTAAAATATTTATATGAGTTCAGAAGGCATGGAATCGTTGGGAGTTATAAGTTTAATTTTCTTTAAAATAAATCAGTTTTAAGTCTCTTACTATAAAAGTATAACTCCAACCTCATTAGTTTTAAGGACATGTACCAGAACAAAACCAAGTCCTGAACTTCTACTGGCAAAGGACATTTTTCCCTCCGTGTACCATCGCACTCCCAAGGCACCATCCTTCACCCCCTCTGGATATCCCCAAACAGATTAACCACCAGCTCGACCACAAAAACCATCGAATAATTGAGTCATCAAATGTTTGGCGCACCCTTTTACTTTTGGCTGCCTTTTGCCATGGCTTTGACAATTAACCGAACTATAAAATGTTTAAGTTTGAACACCTGGCTGGTAGAAAAACGTTTCCCCCGTCAAAAACTTATGGGGGAGGTGACATACCAAAAATATACACACACACACAACCCACCCACCCAGACAGGCAGACACACACACACACACAAACACGTATACATTTAAGCCAATTAGCATTTATGTGCGACACTGGGTGGCTAAGCAAAATGCGTTACATTTTCATCAAACGCACGACACTTTGTTTTAATTTGAGCAACCGCACGCACACAAACAGAAGGATACCCACGCACACACACACACTCATACACTCACACACTCACTCACTGACACAGTGACAGGCTCTGGTTTCGGTCTCGTCACGGTTTACAGATTTCCGTTTCCCCAAAGGACCTTGCACGGGATATTACATTGTTTTGGGCAATTCGCTTTTACTGTGATTAATTTAAATGCACCCCCCCCCCACCAATCGCTGGCACCCTCGCACTTTTTGTGTTCCCATCACGTGTTTGGGATTCATAAATATATATCCTTGAAGCTTCCCAAGCCGCAATTTTAAATCGAATTGCCCATAGAAAGTCGACGGGACAATTAGCCCCGATGGCAGACAACGCCTAAAGTTGTCGTGCTAATGAGGAATACCCTTGGCTACCCGGATTTAGGGGTTCTCTCTGTAAGGAAATGAAATTATGGAGCGTCTGGAATTTACAAGAGAATATAGTAATGACATATGAATTTTATGCGGGAAGGGAGTGTGTAAATAAGGAAGAGCTCAAAAGATATGTCCATAAATTATGATTAAAACGAGACATAACATTTCCAGCTTAACATATTACATCTGTGTTATAAGAATTTAGTTAAAAGTATTTTTCTGGAACTTAGGAACTAAGTAGGAAACCAACTATTTAAATATATTTAATATAACAACCTAAAGAAATATAAACTCTAACTAGCAAGGAAACCTTGAGTTCTATATAGATCTGTCTCTCAAAGACTAATTAAATAAATACATTTGGTCTTAATAATACATTTGGTCTTAATCTTAATATGTCAGGCTCACCGCACGATGGTCAAGTCTTTTGTTGCTTTGTGCAATTACCGAAGTGCATCAGAACCTCACAGGTGTAAATCAATTCAATTTCTGGCCACTAGAAATCAAAGAGGAAACGAAGACCCAAAGGTGTGTGTTCGCATATGTTCATATTTGTGAGTTAGCATTACCTATCTGCTCAGGTGTGTTTCTGTTGCATGTGGGTCTTGGATTTCAAGTGTGTGGAGTGGGGTGAAGTGGAGTGGAGTATGCGTGCAACAACATATATGATCATGCATCATAATCCGAAACCCAAGGCACACGCACACACACACACACACACAGATACACATCAGTTGCTTTGTAATTAATTACTTCACACATTGACGCCGGCCAGTTTCGGGTGCTGGTATTCCCAACAACAGGCAACACAAACGTAAAGTTTACTCTCTGATTCCGAGCGGATGGTGCCACTACACTAGAAATAAGCAGGGTATTGTATAATTCTAACATTTATGATTAACTTAATGTGTTTAATTTGAGTTTTGAAGAAATATTTAATCAATAAATCAAGACAATCCTTAACGATCAGTCTTTGAAGACGGGCTCCTTTCTGTATGCTCATTTAGCATCACCAGAAAATATATCTAGTCATGTCAGTTAGAGAGTCTAGTGTTCTATTCTTAAACTATTGTTTAAATTTTCTGTCTAGCTTTCTCTACTCATTTCCTCTCAGTGTATTTGGGTTGCTTTTGTTGCTGTTGCCGCTCATGCTAACTAATATTGTTACCAGCTTTTTGGGATAGTTAGCTGCATGTTTGGTTAGCTGCTTCTGCCACCGCTGCCGCTGCTGCTGATGTTGCTGTTGCTGCTTCTCTGTTGCTCGTATCGTAAATTATGTGCCATTTATGCGGCATTGGCTTGAAATGGAAATTTGTCCCATTTGTTGCTCGGCGAGACACTTGAGTATTCATAAGGGATCCCCCGGCCTGTTGTTTGGCATTGATTTATGGTACCGAGTATATTTTGGCTAAATATTAAATGAAACGTTAAACCCGAAATATGTATCTTCACTTGGCCTGGTTTTTTTTGGGGATGTGGATGCATTTCGTCGACGGGTCAACTTTCATTTGACTTATAATTGGGGGATATAGTCCACCGTTCTTGTTAGCCAAATAATGATGCCCTCAATTAAGCCAACAAAAGTTTTGCCAACAAACTTGTCCAGAGCCTGCAATTATACGCGCAGGGAAATTAAGTTAGCGCCTCCGACTTGAGAGCTGCATTGCCTTGCATTTGCGTTGGTCCAAGAAATTATGTAAAATATGCTACCAGCGGCAGAGCTGTGTAAGGTGAGAGGTTTGTTTGGCTGTTTGTTTTAGCCCGTTGTTGCTGCTATTTTTAATGAGTCAGAGTTGAAGGAAAATAAAAAAAGCTTGATTACGGGGGCAGAAGAGAGGAGAGGCTGTCGACTTGCAAGTGGCTTAATTATGAGTTAAAATTAGTTTTGCCTTAACTCTTTATAAAGGGAAACACACAGCACAGAGAAGTTAAATTGCACATATATGTTGTTAATGTAAGGTTGAATATTATTTGTCAATTTTAGAAAATTCATTTCCCATGTGAACTATAGTTCACAAATGCTATTTTGGTGTTAAGTTCATTTGCACCCCACTACATTACGCATACGCCCTGTGTGCGAGATTTCTAATTAAACTTTCATGCGGCTGGAAAAAGTTACACATTTGATTATGCTGCTGACCAATAAGTGCAATCATGTTGCAGCGGCAACAGCAATTAACTAACGGTCGGACTTCGGCGGATGGGGAGTACGAGTGCTAGTACCCTGGCTGACCAGCAAACAAACTGTTGGCTTAAACTCAAAAGCGGCAACAATTTATGCGGCGGTGGCAGCCAACACCAACTGAACATTTGGCGAATT